GGCTTTCCTGTGGAAAAGTACATGGACGTCTCCAGTCTGACCAGCACGAGTGTCCCTGCCAATGAAGTCTCCTCCAGGGCGAAGGAAGTGTCCTTCTACCAGGGCTATACAACCCCTTACCAGCACGTTCCTGGGTACATAGACATGGTCTCAACGTTTGGCTCTGGGGAACCGAGACACGAAACATACATATCAATGGAGGGCTATCAGTCTTGGACACTGGCTAATGGCTGGAATAGTCAGGTTTACTGTGCCAAAGATCAGACACAGAGCTCACACTTTTGGAAATCGTCCTTTCCAGGTACGAAAGGGAGAGAAATGGTCTGAGCTGAACCCCCCCACTCGCGCCTCCTCCGCGTGACCGTCCCCTCCCCCGCCCCCCGGGCTGCAGGGGCGGCCTGCCGAGGTGGACACGCTGCACAGACACGCACAGAGCGGAGAGTTGGGGGGGCGGTGGATTTTCCTTTTTCCTTCCCCCTCCAGTTACCCCCGAGGAAACCTCACCCTCCGCTTTCCACCCCGCGGGACAGACCCGGGAGAGCCCGCGCCACCCAGGGACAGGGCCCCGGACGCCCGTCCTGTGGGCGCCGGGGTGGCCTCGGGCTCCTTCTCCCCCTTTTCCCCTCGGTAGCTGGGTTTGCAGTCTGCAGGACAACGGCTTGAAGTCTTGCGTTCCTCTGCCTCTCCCGCTGGCGACTGACCCGGCCCCAGACCACTTAAGAGCCTGAGAGCAGTGAGGGCACAGGCACAAACCACAAGCAAACAAACCCAGGGAAACACACACCAAAGCGATTTCTGTCTGTGTGCTGCCAGGACCGACCCGATCTCGGCCCCCCAGCCAATGCCCCCGCCGCCCTGCACGCTCGCTAGCCATGCATGCCTGAAAGTGATGACAGTTCATCAAGGTTTTTGGTGCTTTACTAACGTGCAAATAATGTGGCAGTGTAAATAATAATAAACTGTAAACAACCCGGCATTATTTATTTGCCCGTGAAAACTAGTGCCCAAGCAGTATCGCTTAAGTTTTAAACGCCTGTAATAAAATTCTAATTTTTCACATAATGTCTTTTATAATAGGGGACGTTGCACTAAACCAGCCCGATATGTGTGTCTACCGACGTGGGAGGAAGAAGCGTGTGCCGTACACAAAACTGCAACTTAAAGAACTCGAGAATGAATATGCCATTAACAAGTTCATTAACAAGGACAAGAGGCGAAGGATATCCGCAGCCACAAACCTGTCTGAGAGACAAGTTACCATTTGGTTTCAGAACAGGAGGGTGAAGGATAAGAAAATAGTCTCCAAACTGAAAGACAATGTATCCTGATCTACTAGTTGCGGACAGTGGTGGATATATAAACTCCATTTACAACCAGCTAAAGACTTTTGGAAAGACTTGAAAATATATTTAATTTTTTTCCCTCCTTCCAGCGGTGGCGAAATTTCGGGAATTGTTTTCCATGAAAGTCAGCGTTTTTCTCTCAGTGGAAGGGAGTGCTGACAAACCTTGAATTACAGTTCCGTTTCTTCTTGAAAATAATATTAATATTATTAATAATTATATTTTCTGTTCTTCCCTCTAGGCCAGTATAAACGAATTTAAATATGTTGAACGGTAACAGTTATAACTTTCTTAAATGCTTAATTCTTTGGAGGGGTTTCTATAATATTTTATTTTTCTCTGAACAACAGTCAATGCCAAAAATTGTCAGTTTCGATTTGGTGTGGTAAACTTCAAAGTGAAAAATAAATAAATAAGATCAGTCAGAAAATGCAGGGAAGCCGGAGCCCGGACGCGTGGCAGCACCCGGCTGCTGGCAAAACGAGCCCACCGGCACCCGAAGGGAATGGTGAATTGTGTGGAGGTGTAACGTCTGCAGCCGCATTTGGAATTGTTTGGGGTTTTTTGTGAAGTGGAGAGAATCTCTCCGAGCTGCTGCTGGGCGCAAAGCGCAGTCGCAGGCGTGTCCCACTACCCTCCCTGCTTCCGCAGGTTTGTGGTTTTGAGGTTTGGGGGGGTGGGGTGTTTTGGATTATTTGTTTGTTTTGCTTTGAGGTTTTTTGGGGTTGTGGTTGTGGGGTTTGGGTTTTTTGTTTGTTTGGGGTTTTGTTTTGCTTTTTCTGTTTTGCTTTTTTTTTGCTTTTCTTTGCCTTTTTTTTTTTCTTTCTTTTTTTTTTTTTTTTTTTTTTTTTTTTTTTACCTGCGGCTTGCT